CTGGGGTACAGTAACTGAATTCAATACAAAGTATACGCATGTATGTTTAACTTCTTTTGCACCGTACGTAGCCAACCATGCTAATCGGAGGTAAGAAGACACCGTATACGAATCGAATTTAACCGGTTGTCACACGTACGACTCAATGATTACTGTGCATGTATTCTGATTTCAACAGCACACAATGCCGCTGTAAATACTGCACCGTTTTGAAGCAAGCAAATGCCCGACGTGACGAGTTACATCGCCTCTTCTGCAAGGAGACGAAACTCGGCTCAGGCTCCTGGCCCCGGCTCTCACTTAGCCTGACCAAACGCAAACCTTCCTTTTGACAAAACTCAACGCAACTGGAACTTGCTGGGCAAATCGCCCGACCAAGCATGGCCGTGACAAGTGAGTGGAAAATGAAAGCACGACACAGTTCTAATTGAGCGTGAGCAATTACGCGAGGTACACATGGACCCCCGCCACCACGGAAAGCGCCGCGGTGGGTGAGATGTTAACTACCTCGCCCGGTATACAAGAGGTTGTGGGCTCGATCCCGACCCTGACGCCTGCTGTAAATGTGGAGTTTGCGTGTCTCCGCGGTCGCAGGGACTGTTCACCGGTCCTTCCAGAGTTTTCCTCCATATTTAGAAACATGCGTTTACAGTTATTTGACTGCTATACATTTCCACGTGATGAGCCACTTTGTTGACCTATCATTTGTGACGGTCAGGTCGCTTCTGAAAAAAAGAGCTACACAGCTCAGTGGACCATACCTGGAAAAAAAAACAAGTTTATTTTTTTAATATATATGTTTTTTAATATAAAGCCGCAAGATTTACCACGAACATTGGACGCAGCAGGGAAGGAGCGACGTGCTCAATGAAGTGACACATTCCAAAGCCGCTGCGTTGTTGAGAGTGGAAAGCTACTCCCGCTGCATGGATTTGCCCGTGGCAGAAACGAAAGGGGTCACAACAATGCCGCGTGGATCAAAATGATCGTATTGCGTTTGACGTTCTACGTCACGAGACCTTGCGGTCAACAGTTGAATGTCTAACTCATTGGCACAGCCCCCGGTTGCTGAAGCCGTCTCACATTGACATGCTAATCTCTTACATTTACATGCAAATTCCATCTCTAGCTCGGCCCACTTACCCCTGGGTTGATCCCACCTCAAGCCTATATAACCTCTTGTTGCAGCAGCTCGTTGTCCTGCCTCAGCAGTTCTCCTGCTGATGACGATTGCTTGTGTTGCGATCGAAACGTGGTGATCTATACATTTTCTATCTACGTGACTTTACCGAAAGCACCAAAGAGTATGGTGTATCGTGCTTTTAGCCTGCACGTGTTGTGTGCTCAGTGCCCCGTTGATGGGGTAGCTCACTAGCTGGAGAAAACGTAATTTAGCTTGAGATCATTACTGATACAAAGTGAGCTGAGTTTAAAATATATGTTTAATCAGGTGAGAATATGAGACCTACAGTCTAATTTACAAGTGACCTGGTACATTAGTCTGCCGTTTGGGGGCGATTAATGCTATGTTTGAACCCAATTGAATTAAATGCGAGTGATTATCGAATTTTGTCAAATTTGCACCCCGTTGCCAGCACACAATGGCCTACCGACATCACGGGAATGACATCACGGGATCTTTCACGCAAGTATTCATCGGGGCGGCCGCTAGGTCCAGAACCGTGAACCTCTGCAACAAGCGGCGAATGTGCTATCTTTAAGATCCGCCACGTGTAGAGGGGTCCAGTTGGTAGAGCTTAGAGTGTGTCAAAGGTGCCAACTGGACTGTGCTGTGGTCGGGGGGAGTTCAAGGCGCTGAGCTACAAAAAAGGGGAGGGGGGGGGGTGTTGGAATTTACAAGATGCTGTCCCAATTTAATTCCATGCACGAGGGCCCAATGCCAACCATTCTACGCCAGTGCATTGCTTGGTCAGGATAACTCATTCCGTTCACTTGAGCGAACAAGCTGCGCGCCCGCTGTCCGTGTGTTTACCGCTCTTCCATTCGTGGGGCTCAAGGCATGGCCTCGCAAAGATGATGTCACCGCCATGTGAGCTGGAATAAAAACAGTGGCTGCACAGGGGAAGAATGCACCGTGGCCCCAGCCCATTAGTGGTACATCTTGTATTTACACAGCTGATGCATGACTTCACGTTTTAATTTCCTCTTTTCCAATAAGGCATGAATTGTCTTCACTGCAAGCACACGTTGTGCCAGCCTATTACCACAGTCGGGAGATGCATCCAGCCCTGGCAATGCGTGTGTATTTGTTATTATTCATTGATATTTTTTAAAAAAAAATCTGTACGAATTCAACTCATGAGCTCGTGAGAATTTGCCATTATAAGGCGCACCAAACTCTGAAGAATAGCCTTGTGATATCATGAGAACATTGCCCATGATCACGATGTGGTCACGTGACTATGTCCGAGTTAAATCAACCTGGTGGGTGGTGCTCTGGCAAAGTGTCCGTCACAATCAGAGGATCGTGAGTTCGTACGCCAGTCCGGATTTAATTTAACCCATCATCCTTGTGGGGTCAATAAAATAAACACTGCTGATCCAAGTGGTGGCTTGCGCATTGGGCTGAGAATTTCTTCTTCTCCAGCTTTTACCTCGCACTTACTGTCAGCATCTTCAGGAGTTGAACAGTCTACCTCTCCTCGACATATTGGCCCTGGTATAGGACTGTGGAACTTCTTCCGCTGGCTTTAGACTGCAAATCGAGATCAATGATGAATGCTCAGTTGAACAGGGAGCCACTGACTTTTACGGCACGACCAGAAGGGATTGTTGATATTTTGCTCCATACAAAATCATCACTGAAGATCATGCCAAAAGCGGTTGAGGCCACACATCGCCAATGCTTTCGTCTGCTCCGCCAGTTTACTGAACCCTAAAGGCATCCGTATCCCTATGAACAGTTCATTTGTCCTTCCCCCGCACCTCCATTTAGCACGGTTGGAAACGTACAGTTCGAAGGAAGTTCAACATACAGACACACCGTCTGAAGTCGGGGCGTACAATTGTGTCCACATTTTTAGCTTACGTTGCAAATGAGATGCGATCACAAATGATTATTAATTTACAGAATCACTCCCAGTGTACATTGGTTTGCACCGTAGGTTGCAGCACCTTTCAGCCTTACACATAGAATGTGTGATGAAGGTTAGTTCCTCAGGGCAAGCGCTGCCTACATTACGCTGCCCATTTTCCTCGAAAGTGAGATTAAAATGTACTTCTTTTAACACAGTCTGTGAAAATATCCTCATTAGGGAAGTGTCAGCGTCAAGATAAAAAATGTTTTAACAAGTGTAATGTTAAACTGTGGCTGTCCCTTGCTTGGATTCAAGCTGGCACCTACACAGCCATCAACTAGCCATTGATGACCCAGCCAGCCATCACCCAGCCAGCCATCACCCAGTTAGTCATCACACAGGCAGGCTTCACCCATTCAGTCATCACTCAGACGGCCATCACCCAACCAGTCATCAACCAACCAGTCATCACCCAGCCAGCCATCACCCAGCCAGCCATCACCCAGTCAGTCATCACCCAGTCCGCCATCAGCAAGCCAACCATCACTCTACCAGCCATCACCCAGTCAGTCATCACCCAGACCGCCATCACCCAGCCAGCCATCACCAAGTCAGTCATCACCCAGACGGCATTCACCCAGCCAACCATCACCCAGCCAGCCATCACCCAGTCAGTCATCACCCAGCCAGCCATCACCCAGTCAGTCATCACCCAGCCAGCCATCACTCTACCAGCCATCACCCAGCCAGCCATCACCCAGTCAGCCATCACCCATTCGGCCATCACCCAGCCAGCCATCACCCAGTCAGTCATCACCCAGACCGCCATCACCCAGCCAACCATCACCCAGCCAGCCATCACCCAGTCAGTCATTACCCAGCCAGACATCACTCTACCAGTCATCACCCAGTCAGTCATCACCCAGCCAGCCATCACCCAGTCAGTCATCACCCAGTCAGTCATCACCCAGACCGCCATCACCCAGCCAACCATGACCCAGACAGCCATCACCCAGTCAGTCATCACCCAGACGGCATTCACCCAGCCAGCCATCACACAGTCAGCCATCACAGTCAGCAATCATATCCAGCCATCACCCAAACAGCCATCACCCAAACAGCCATCACCCAGACAGCCATCACACACCCAGCCATCACCCAGACAGCCATCATCCGGCCAGCCGTCAAACACTGTCATCACACACTCAGCCATCACCCATCCATCATTTAGCCAGCGATCGTTTTGCCCGGCATCACAAAGCCAAACATCACTGAATCAGCCAACAGTAAGGCAGCCATTACGGTTCCGGCCAAGAGCAAAACGGCCGCCAATTTTCAGATTCGAAAGGGAAGAACCAGCACCAATCGTTTTCCCAAAAAAGGGCAAGTTGTTTGCCTCCTCTCTGCCAAAATTCACAAATAGCACAGCAGTAGTCCCCAGTCAGATTTCTGACATCACCCGTGGAATGTGGAACCGTAGCGTTCAGGATGAAGGTGCCATACAGTTTTGCCTGTTCTCATTTCCATGCCCAAACAAGCCCATGTGTTCAACTGCCTGCAAACTGCCCGCGCAACTTGATGAGACAAAAAAATGGTACTCGCCACAGCAGACGCATTACTAATGGTAATATTTTGTGTGCATCGCTATGGTGGCTGGTTACATAAGACGCTTAGAACGAGAAAATAACAGGGCCTCCCGACCTGCTATCTTGCAGGCTCGTACACCCAAGAGTTTACAAAAATGCACGCCATAATGTAAGCTTTTGTGTGCAGTCACTGCTGCAAGTCTATAATGAGTACAGTAAGGTATGCATTTCGAGCAGCCTGATGTTACATCCATTTTTACATCCAACAACCTTGTTCCAGATTCTTCTGAACTCAGTCTTTCTGCAGCAGTACCAACCTGAAGCTCTCGACAAATGTGCACACACGAAAGCAATGGTGAGAAAAACAGTAACGTAAAAAAAAACACATTATCTCGTGTTTATTTTTCAATTAAATGAAAAATACAATTCCTTATTCAGCCAAGGTAAAAAGGGAGTCGTGGAGGGAAGACGACTCGTGAGATAGGATAACAACAGGGAGATGTGAGCCCAAATAATGATCATAGTACTATGAGATCAAAATATCAAGATGTCAAAGACGTTCATGACACCACACCTCGCCAAAGCCTTTAACTCTCCGTCAGATCCTGCAAATGTTGCACATTAGACAGACAACCTCCAAAATCTGTCCCAACAGTTTCCCACCATCTGTTCTTAGGTCATCCACTCCGTCAAGAGACTTATAGAGACCACTCCATTACCTGTCTTTGGCCATAGGTCCTCTACCCATCCTCCACACGTCCCAATCAGCACAGCGGGTTTTTTTTTGTGATCACATCTACTTACCTGGCATGTTATCTCCCATACCTTCGCAATGCTCATATCCTGTCTTGCCATGGAAATCCCGATCATCCGTGTCAGACATCTGTAGTGCTCAAATCCTCACAACTTATTTTTGAACCGATGCGAGTGCAGCTCTCCGATCCGTAGAGTAAAACATATACACCACTCCTGCCTCGCATACCATTCTGTTTACACGCTTATCTCTCTTTCACAGTGGTTTCCATAGCCCATAAAAAAAAAACATTGTCTGCTGATAGCAATTCACTTCTTGACCTCCTTCTCACAGCCCCCTGACCTGATCTAATGTTCTTCACCGCTGTTTCAACTTCTTCTGAGGTTACCTCTTTCAACCATGCCTACTATCATTGCTTAATCCTGCACAGACATTTCCTCCTGATGCCCGATGTTCCGTAGCAATTATACTCCTGGGTCTATGCGTTCTTCTCTGCTCAAAAGGCGGCTAAGATCATGTCTGCAATACCTCTAACACTCATTCATCATCAGTGTTCCCACTGCCATCCCTGCCCAGCTCCAGCTCTAATCCGCATTCTTAAGACATTTCCTTAACGCGTCATTCATTGACCATTGGAAATAACGTTTTGCTGTTCCTTTTCCTGTTAGGATTTTCCATCTCCTCTGCTTGCGCCTGCCAATAAGTACGGTAGTCCTCACCTATGCCAGTGTCTGGTTTCCTTCCTGTGGTCGTACAACGTATCCTCAATCTTCCCTGCTCTTCCCTGTTCTATTGTCCTCTCCATGCAACATTTGCTTTCACTTCCCTCGTGCAGCTCCATCTATGGCTTCTTCGGTTGAGCACTTGTTCACCCTTATTGCTGACTTTAGGACCAAGGACTTCTGCTGCTGCTTCAACTTCAACTACAATAAAGCCTTCCCGGAGCGTCTGCTTCTCATTCCGACTCCCCTCCTTCTTCTTCTGTCCAAACCTGCCTCCCGGTGCTTACCTGAATTTGTCGCTGTCCCTCGTAGATCTTTAGTTTTGCTGTGTCACGACTAAGAACAGCTCATCTAGGTCACTTGCTCCCTGGCTTCTCTCTTACTCCTGCAATAACTATTTTGTGTCTGGATTGATATATGCAACATTGTAAGCTCTGGTCTTCAGGTAAGATTTCCTGCGTTGTTCTCGGGCTACAATGTAATCATACAAAGCCTCAGGCTCACCATCGTTGTGATTTCCACATCAGCTTGGGTGACTTATTCTATTCCAACTGTGTATTCCAGATAATTAATCTATTCCTTGCTGCATAACTCGAGTAACATGGTTCCATTATTATTCCCCTGCCCTATCCCATGCTGCCCCTCTGAGACATACATGGTCATCCAATTTGCTATCATGTTGCTAATGGCCATCCCTCGTCCTGCTTCGTGATGCCTCACCCCCCTCCCACGCCCCACGATACCGCAGAGTGTAATCCTCACGTCAGGCCCAACCTGAATCTATCCACCTAATTTCACTCATCCCACCATTCGCGGTGCTGTTACTTTTTCAAATCACCAACAAAGCAATATATCTGCCTCGGCCTTTTTTTGTGCAGTTGCCTTACATTTCCAGTGTCATATCCTGGCTATTGTCTTTGTATTTGCTTCAAGTATTCCTGTTGGATATACTTTCCCCGGGCCTTTAAATTTCTTCATTTAAGTAGCTGGACTACCAACCCAACCCTGATGCCACAGCTTAGGGAGGCAGGGCCCGCAAGCCAAATATTCACAACCACCGCGGTGCCTGAGTGGACTGCACAAACCTCTCGTTGATCCACGTAACGGTTAAGCCAGCAGCATCGGGAATTCTGTTCGGGGGCTAATTGCCCTCCATGTACCCAGGGGAAAAAGAAAAAAAACTCACTTGAGTATAATTTATTATTCATGAGGGTCCTGCCATGCTGGGATGCTTGTTCAAGTCCATGTATGAGTGTTTGACTTGTTGGAAGAGAATAAAAAGAGTACCTGCAAAAATGACATACATACAAGGGGGTAAGACTCAAAAGCTCCACACGGATAGATTTAAGATAATCAATTGCTATACTTGCACCTCCTGGCCAATGCACCCGCTCATCTAAATACAAGCACCATCATCATAGACGCCATCATCAGCTCCATCACCGGGAGTATGCGTGGAGGAGGGCATCCTCGCGCAAGGTCGCACTCAGCGCAAACTCCTGGGTGGGCACTCGGTGCACGAGGGCATCGGCTCAGCAAGAGACCCACGAGGCAACCAAGTGCATTTTGTTTAACCAGGTGAGAACTCAAGAGACTGGGATAGACTCAATTGCAAGAATAACCCGAGGCATCAGTGTGCCAGTAGGGGGCGACGCTTGTGATGTATAATCCCATTTTTTGGAAGTTGTTCGATTTATTTTTTTAATGTTGACCTTTGACGCCAGCACACAGTGACTTACTATTGCGTATGACGCCCGGGGATCTTTAACGTCCACTTTGGAGCAGACGGTGCGTGGTGTTTTGGTGATCACACCCACAGAGGCAATCGGAGTGGCCGTTGCATTCAAGCTGTGGACCTCTGCAACGAGCGGTGATCGCACTACCTCTTAGGGCCTCGGCCATATCACCACCCTAAACCACACCGTACCAGTGATGTGGGTGACATGACGCACCGTGCTCTGTCGGACCCCGTGTGCTCACTCCTCAGGGTGGTCCCCTGTACATCCCCTCTACAGCCACTTGTCACGGCAAGAGAGAGGGAAACAAACATTTTACGCACTCAGACATTTGATTCCAAAAAATAAATCGAATTCTGGTTAGTGGGGCTATAAATATTAAGTCGGAGTGTCTTCGTGCTCAAGCTATCATGCGGCGGTGGTCATTTAAATTCCGAATTGCTGTGGCAGGGTCTGTCTATTCAGAGCAGCCACTGTTTATTCCACGAAGTTATATCCATTTCATCAACCCTGCAGGATAACAACATTTACGTTGACCCTGCGGAGCGATTGAGCTCTCAGCCTTCTGATTCAGAGTCAATTGCTCGAACCGTAGCGCCACCGCGCCAGACAGGGTGACGCCCCAATGAAACCGGTCTGAGTGCACCTCCTGGACTGGAAACGACACCGGCCAAGTGTGCACTGGACACCGCTGCTCAATAAATCAGCATCGACTGAGGTCGGAGATCTAAATGCTGGAAATGTCACAACTCATAAGCAACGAGGCCACAGCACACACGCACAGCCCCTATACAGGGCAGAGCACGAGGGCATGGCAGCACATCGCTCCTGATCAAGCTCCCGACGCCACGGCTCACGTTCCTGTTTAACCCCGGGCACCACTTGCCGCTGCTGCTGCTGCTGCTGCCCGCGCTGAGCTGCCGTCTCTAGAAACGACTCGGATGTGCCAAAGAATAAATGCATCAACGTCTCCGATCTTATTTATCTACACCGCGTCACTATCAACTTGCGCAGTTGGTCACCTGCAAGGCAGCTCATTAACAAGTACGACTTTTTTCTCCTTGGCATTTTTATATAATTAACTTCGAGAGCCATCACGTATGAGCAAACAGTAGACATATACAAATACCCTGAGTTTAGGCGCGAGGATAATTTCCATCGCTTTCCCCTAACACCCCAAGGCATTGCAGAGCAGTGCTTCATAACGCACAGCAGCACAACTCTGATTTGTGTGTGGTTGGTTTTTTTTTGCACACAAGTCTCTGCTTGCTGCTCTAGACAATGTCAATATGTAATAGGGCAAATTTACCAGGAGGCCGCTTTAATTAAAAATGTTGGTTCTTTTTTGTGAGCAAAGTGCCCACTGTATTTTATGAATGTGCGTTCCTAAAGGGCAGTGTGATTGTGACGAAGTGGCGTGTGATGCAATGGACAATTCCCTGATCCCTCGGAAAGCACTGGTACAACTACTCTCATTGGTTCGTGCTTTTAACCTTAAATAAATGCAATGGAGGTCATTTAGCACGTTCCAGAGCCATTCGATAGAAGGTATGAAGTGCTCATCTAATCTCCGCCCCTGCAATTATTTCTACAATGAGCCAAGACTGATCCTTGGGAGGGAAGACAGAGAAGCAAAGGGCAGAGAGAGAGCAGTAGGAATGAGGAAGAACTGTACTCCAACATGTGGGAAGATACTTACTTTTCACTTATTCCTCAGCGCACAGTTCTCAAAAGAATAGCCAGACAAAATGAGATGATGGTGCGACTATATGCAGCTGAGGTTAAAATAACGGTTGCCTCGTGTTCCCCAAGAACCAGGAGAATCGGCCTGACAAAAATGTACAACTCACGCAGATTCTTCACGCCCCATCGAGGTCAGCGGCCGTGACCTCGCTGCTCGCTGCATCTCAGTCAGCTCCCGTGGGAGACGGAGCTACTCTGACCGGTCCCTGTCAGCGCCAACAGCCTGCAGGGTCAGCGCCTTCCACGCCATCCCAACCAGCCACCATCTGCAGGCCCTCTCTCTCTCTCTGATCGCCACCGCCTCGCGCACGCACAGTGGCAATCCGATTAATATGCGGCACACGCAGCACAGCCGTGAGAATTTGGCTACAGCTTCCAATCCACTCTGCCGTCGGCCTGAGCTTATTACAGATTCTATTTATAAACAGTAATTATGCAGAGGAGAACCGGTGTGCAGACTCGTACGAACATTACTGCAATCTCCCCTCACCCGTCACCCCAAAAGGTAGGTTCGAGCCAGAGCCGCCACTGAGGGCGCTGCCAACAGGAGAGGTCACACCAACACCACCAGAGGCGCGCAGACTCCCATTGTTCCCGACGCACGTCGCACACGGCAAATCCAGTTCAGTCAGTGTTTGCCTAACTCAAGCAGGCGAGATGAGTGCTCATATCCGTTGACTCCCCGAGTAGGCAATCTCACGTTGTTATAATTACTACTTTATTGTTATAATAATAATAGGGTTTTGATGTAGATACTTTATTGCTGTTTAGCCCAGGAGACTCTCACCGAGTCTAAATATAACATTTTCAAGAAAGTCTTATTTCATTTGGCCAAAAAAAACATTCGTGAGTGATTGGCTTCTCGTGGAAGGAAACTGGACAAAAAGGTAAAGGCGCAGGGCTGCAAATGCCGCGCTCACAGCCGCTGCTGACAGAAGGGCCTCCAGCAGGCGGGAGCTCTAGATAACCCCGCTAGAAGGTACGTCGGCCTACTCTTTCACCCTGGCCAGGTGGTGAGTACCTACTCTCTTGGAAAAACAGTGAGAGTACCCACATCGTATCAAACAAACCCACGCGACTTGCCGATTGACGAAAGATATTGGAGTGCCCCATCAACACTTTACGAGCGGGCGACATTAAGCACTGTCATTTTCCGTGCCACCTCACATGCTCCATGTCAACAACACTTGGCAACTTGGGTGATAACCCATTTAATTACGAACCATGCTCGACTCTGTTTAGTTTATATTTTTGGGGTAAATTACAGAAAACAAAAACTACGACGTTTCGATCGCAACACAAGCGGTCGTCTTCAGGAAGGAACCTATCTACGTGACTTTACCGAAAGACCCAAAGAATATTAATTCCTGCAGTCACGAAAGCTTTAAGTCAACATTTCTGTTTAGTTTCTAAGACGCTCTGAGATCAGCCGTAGTTCATACCAGTTTAGTCACAGGTAATGATGAAGGGGCCATCTTACGTTGGACAAGCACACCACTGCTGACTTTTGACAAAGTGGTACCGGTTTACTCGACCACAGAGGGGTCCCCACTATGAGCTCAACTCTCTCCACCAAGTAACATGCCCTTTACACATTTGACAAGATATTTCTAAATGTTTTTTACAGATACGGGTTTCAAACCAATTATTTATCCACGCTACACACATTTCTGCATCAATTATTGCTATATGCCATCACAAGAAAAAGAATCAATTCAAATAAATTGTCCTTGTCAAAAATGTCAATTAAAGTAGTCTTTACCCCACTTTAAAAAAGCACCGGACTAATTAAATTAAGAGAAAGAGTGTTATCTCGGTGGCATGTGCATCACATAATTTTTTAAATATATATTACACATTGGTTGCAGTAAATGAGTAAGGATGGATGGCAAAGACTGACTCATGCTATTTTACAAAGTACGAGTCATCACCGTTAAGATGAACTCATTCAAATGCATTACTCAACTAAGAGACGGTGTCAGAGTTGAGATCACATCAAAGGGCACAAAGATCAAACATTGCTTCATAAGCACGGGATAGCGGCACCACGCACTCGCCACCTCATTCTCCGCAACTATGTCAATCCCGTGGGAGGGGGGAAAAAGGATCGCTATTGTTTGTCTGTGAGTCGAAGAGCAGTCACCCAGAGCTGCAATACTCGAGCCACTTCTAACACAATAATAACATTGTTTTCTCTCCATCCGCTCGGAAGCTTCCCGTAAATAACCACCTTGACACACTTCCCCCGTGTTCACAAACCCCACGCGGAGTTCAAAGCAACGAGGTACCACGAGCTCTTCCCACGTGTTTAAACGCCGTTCAAATCCGGCACGGGAAAGTTATGCGTGACCACACGGAGCAAATGACCCCCAAACATGCAACTCGTATCGTCGGATCTTGGAAAGTGAGCAGGTTCGAGACCGGTTAGTACTCGGATGGGTGACTACCGGGGGATTGTCAGGTGTCGTAGGTGTGTGACTGCAACGGTGGCCAGGAAATGGCAGTGTTGAGTGGTTACCCATTTGTACGCGTGGGTGGTTTCCTCCTCCTCCCTGCTACATGAAGGCAAATAGTTATTAATAGATACGGCCAATCATCACAATGCAGGGCCCTCCTGAATAACAATAATCTCGAATTCCGTGGGAGGCCCTACTGGCTAATATATATTTTATTTCACATCGATGCAGCGCAAACTAATATCGCTTTACATTTTAACACACACGAAGTGTTATTTGAACGTGAGCTAAAATGTACCCTTGACATTGTTCGCTCAGTTTGATTGACTTTAAATAATAATTATCATAATAATAATAAAAATAGGTCACACGCAAAGTCTGTCACCTGTCCCTTCTGACAAGCGGTCGCGGTAGTAAGCGGCTCACAATTTCTGCACGAAACGGGACCGTGGTTATTCGCGTTGCGTCCGCGGTTCAGATGAAGTTCACTTCCACTCCACGTGGCGCGCGCGTAAATCATTAATAGCCACGAGGCAGCAGCATCAGCAACAGCAGTTGTAGCTACATCGGCCTGCGCGGAGTATGCGACGATCGTAGTATGCGGGACGCGGTTGGGTTCGCCAGGAAGCCGAGTTAACGTCTCGGCTCCTGCCCACGGACGGGCATCAGTCAGCGCCATCACTACCGCGCCCTGTTCAGGGAGCCGGCTAGCGGGTCGCCGCCAGCCAAGCGCGCAGGCCACTCGTTCCAGCGCTGCACAAAGCCATGGGAAAGACGGGAGGAGCAGTAGAGGAGGGCAGCATATGTATACGAGCACTCGGATGACCCAGTGAAATCGGACATTTCGACAGGGTTCTGGCCCACGCATAGTCACAACAAATGACTGTTTTCCCCTTTTCTTAAAAAAAAAACATGTGATCACGCCTCGTGCCAAAAACGGCACCTAATAGCTGGCAGGCCCGAATCTGAACCGCGGCTACGTGACGATCAATCGATCCTCTTGGGATCGTCGAGCAGCAAGAGTCGCAGCGTTTATCAAAACATGCATGCAACAAGTTTATAAACACATGCATGTAACACGTTAATAGCAAAACCAACATGCGCGTCGCGGTCCTGTGACAGGACAGGCTTTTTTCATCCATTGCTAACAGATGGGATTGGCCCGAGCAGCACGCGATGGCTTTCCAGAAATAGAATATAAAAACCTGTTCAAAGGCCAGTGGGATAATTTTTGTTCACATTTTCTCAAGATTTGAATGTCAGCACGGAGCGGTGCCGTGCTGAAAATAGCAACGATATGACTTCTTGGCATCTGAAAGCAATTTGGGTAATGGGCCACGTTTTCATCGTAAACATTACAGGAAAATTCCTCCTGACAGACGAAATGCTGCGCTGCAAGCTAACACCACCAATTGGCCTTGTTGCATCGGGCATAGGAAGCAACATCGTCGCAGCACAACGACAACGAGTGCCTCAGCTATCGCCCTGTGCTCCTCAGAGGGCACACACAACATCGCCCCGCACGCACGCTACGATATCTCCCTCGGTGCCGAAATTAATTGCACCCAATAAGAGTTTTCTCAATAAACTCTTCCCATGAATCCCATCTTCTGCTCTTTCAAAACTGCACTGTATCCTCCACATCGCCATTCCGTGGGTCGTGCCCTTATTTGGGGCTTGTTCAGATTAACGCAGCTTATTTTCCTCTCAAGGACTTATAAGCAAAGTCAATCAATAGGAAGCTGCAGCCAAAGAATACAAAGTCTAAATCAGAAGAGGCAGTTGGCTATTCCAGATGGAGCCCAGGGGACATGGAACCCGCAAGATTTTAAACAGCAGTTCATTAAGGGCTTATCCATTTACTCTAACTCGGTGGCATTTTAACACAAGACAAATAATGGTCCTCAGTGCATTTAACCCTGAGGCTTTAAACAGCCGTGCGCGCGCTGGCCACAGCTCAGGCCGGCAAAACCCTGATAAAATATTTTCACCGAGCGCTGTGTGCGTGCGGAGGTGTCTGAGACGAGGGTGAAGTGTGTGTTTTGTGTGCCTTTTGTATTGTTTCGTGTTTGCCAGGTAAGTAGGGCGCGTGTCGTCTGCTGACGACGTATTGCACTTTTAAACACCATGCGCGCGCCCGGTGGAACAAATCATCGACGTGTCAACTGGATCTAAATGCAGATTTTTGAAAAGTATAAGCCACAACAACAGTGACTGGTAGAACATGAATCATGCACCCAAAAATAAATAATCCACCGATTTGTTACGAACCGATGTGTAAAACGTGATAATATAAATAAAGTGAAAAGTGCAAAAGCATTTGGAACAAAAAAATAAGAAAATGTTCTCAATGTGTATTTATGCACACGAAATCTGAATATAAACTTTGGTTACGTCAACCACAGCCAAAGTGCACAATCGCACGCTCCACCTAGCCATGCACCGCTCCCTTGAGACACACGTGGAACTCATTGCTTGACGTAAACGGAAACTGCTTGCTCCGCGCCGACATACGCTCGCACATTTGTGTTTCTTCCCCAAATAGGGAGAGAGAGAGAGAGAGAAAAAAGCCTAAATGGCTAGCGTGTTCAGTGGCGATGACATGGGACCGTGACATCATGCAAGAGCGGCTCACGCCGCATTCTCACGGCGTGAGCGAGGTTCCCAAAACACGTCCGCAGGTCCCTCCACCGGCCTGGACGACAAGGAGCCTTTTTCTCCTGTAGCCGCTAACTCCCGATGTGGCTCGGGCACAATCCTCTCTGCGCTCGTGTTGTAATTAAGAGAGAGAGGGGGGGCGAGGGTGGGGTGGGGGGGAGAGATGCGGCAACATCACAGAACGGTGGAGCAATGAGCTGAGACGCTGCGTGGGTGGTGGGATCGTTAATGTTGCTGTTCCCACCGCACCGGCATTACCCCGGCCCTCGCAGCGTTCTGAAGTGATGGATAATTTGCACTGTGCATTATGCGTGATTACACCGAGCTGTGCCTGAAGAGAGCCACCTTAAGGCTGAATCGCATCCTTATAGATATTGCAGCCATCCATTACCCCACACGCACGCGCAGAGTACTGCCTCAGATGACTCTGAATTTCCCTGATTTTAAACGCCAAACATTATCCCATTATGAGACAGCGGCAGGACATTCAAATGTACATTAACCCTTGCGGTGGACTGCGTTAAAAAAAAAACTCTCGATCGATGTTTAAAATAAAAGGAAGAGAACGCGGGCGATGCTGCTACATGGGCAGTGGTGCACGAGCAGAAATCAATAAATAAAAGCTCAACACATGAATCAATAACTGCGTGACCTGAAAAGGAAAATACATAATAGGCGACGTTTCGGGCAATGGCCCTTCTGCATAGCACACGAATAAGAGTAGACTTCTATTTCGATTTAAAGCTTTCGTGACTGCAGGGATTCATATTATTGGTTCTTTCGGTAAATTCACGTAGAAGGGAAATAATAACAACAATAATAACAATATTTTCCTTCTACGTGACTTTACCGAAAGATCCAAGAATATGAATAAGAGTATACTTGTCAGGCCCTATGGTGTAGAGTGCAAGTCTCCAACTCCTATCTGCACTTGTCCCTTTGGCTTCACCGCGGACAGTATGCGTCAGGAAGAAGGGCCATTGCTGAAATACCCCCTGTGATGTTTGCCCTCCTTTTAAGGCCACAGTGCAAATGAAGAATGTGTTGAGTCGGTGTCTCAAATTGTACCCCGTTGTTTCGTTTTATCCCTCCCGAAATCTGCCGGCGGCCCCGGCGCACAACACAATGCCGGGACGATAAAGCGATACTAATCACTGCGTGCACCATCTGGAGCCGATTAGAGCACACATCCAAGGCAACAGGAACCCTCATATGCAGAAGGGATTGCTGTTGTGCATCATTCGGCAGGAATGTTTTAATCGATGGGGGCTGATGCAAGGCTCGGAGATTAAATGAAGGTTTAAAAAATAAAACTCGACGCTGGGGAAGGTGGCCTGCATCGTAGCGCCGTCCCCCTGTACGGCCGCGGCCACAAAACAACAACAAACAACAACAAACAACAACAACCAACAACACCGGAACTCACGCCCGTCACTCTGGGTCTCCCGCTCAGCATGGCATCTTCTCACCAATTTGACAAGCCATTAGAAAATGAAATGAGGCATTCAAACAAAAGGACGCCTATACGTACGGCAGAGGGGAGGCTACCCCCCCCGCCCCGCTCCGTATCAAATGTCCTCATAATGAAAACAAAACACAAGCCTGTTCTGCACACGCATTCATGCAGTTGCTCCTTTGGGAGAGAGATTGGGGTTTGTGTTGTTGGGGTTTTCGGCCTGGATCTCAATAAATCCAGCTTCATTTTTTTAGCAGTGGGGCTCCTCGCCTGTCCTTGTTGTGTTTATGTGTGACAGTATGAGATGTCTCAGTACGCAAGCCTCTTGGGGGGGTCTC